TGAGAGGAGATCTGCCCAGAAGATTCTTCCTTGTGAGGTGGTCTACAAACTAAGAAGTACAGAGGTCACTTTTTCAAATTTGAATTGCTCTCTTCTGAAATAAGCTTTCTCACACATTCACATATGAGATGTTAACAAAACATGCACAATTATTCAATTGGCTGATAGTGATTTAACTTAAATGTATTTGGATATAATTTAAATAGAGACATGATGTCATAAATAGTCTCTTATTATTCACATCGTAAACGCCACTGTTTTTTTCATTTGTATAATGTAACCTTAAATAAAGCAGACATGAAGAAGTCCAACTTTGAACAGTCATGCGTGTCAGTCTGTATATAATTTGCACCTAATTTAAAAATAAATAATGTGTTTTTTCAAATGTGTTGTGTCATTTTAGTGCAGAGCTGCAAACCGTAAACGGGTTGCAAACCTGATTTCTGTTTTGGGAAGGAAGAGGTGATAGCATATATGTAATGAGACAAATGTTATGTGTCTCTTGTGACAGTGTTTGCATTAAGCAGTTTCTAAGGAAGTCAATGAACAGGTTCTTTGAATTACTATCTTGTTTACTGAAAGAAAGGAAACAAAAGAGAAAAATGTACTACAGTATGTCTCCAATTGGCTTTGTATACAATTCTACACATAACATTCACATGTGTAAAAGTGATGTAAGCTACTGTATACTCTAAGTGTTTCTTTGTATGACTTGTGCTGTCTCCTTGATTATTTATTTGTAAACCTTGAATTCTACAGGTCCAAATTCAATGATCAAATGCTTCACATTTCACTCACTCATGAATTTCAACCCTATCTTTGAATAGTACAAAACAAAAGGCAGTCATTAAACATATGAACTGGCTTATATGTCGGTTTGCTATCCTGGCTCCAAAATGGTGGAATGAGCTCCCCATTGAAATCAGGACAGCAGAAAGCTTACACATCTTCCGGGGCAGACTGAAAACTCATCTCTTTCGACTCCACTTCGAGCGATAGAATTGCTAACAAAGCACTTATATACTAATAAAGGACTGGCTTATCTATAGCCAGTTGAGTAGCACTTGAAATGTTTTAGCTTGGATAAAAGCCTCAGCTAAACGTAATGTGTTTATTGTATACAAAACAACCTTGCAACTCTGCACTTTGGTCAAGCTGTTCTAAGAAGTAGTTTCTTCTCTTTACCTTTAATGCATTGTAATTGAATCGTCATGTATGCTAATAGGCCTGACCATACTCTAAGATAGCAGCTGGAGATACAGAAAGCCCTTAAGTTCCCTTTTAAGGTCATTTCTATCTTGCAAAACGGTCCCTTCCTTATAACATGACACTTCCTTACTGCTGACTATATAAGTGCATTGTACCGTCATAGTCAGCCAAGACAGCAGAGACAGCTCACATTAAAAGCTGTTTTGACTCCACTAGTTGCCAGACATTTAAATTGACAAAAGTGTCTCCAAGTTTTGGTGCAGGATGGCAAAGATGGCATTTTGGACGGCAGTGCTACTCCTTCATGGAGTCTCTACAGGAATTGCGATGGTGCGTATCTGCTGAATGATGGCGTGCTCAACTAACAGCTGTGCACTGACTTACTGTATGTAAGACTTTTCAGCAACATCATGTGTTCTTATAACGTTTGTTATTTCTTTATAGAACCGTGCTATAACCAGGCTAGATGGCTTCCTTCCATTGGACGATGCTCCAGACTCTGTTGATGACATGTACGATGGCTGCAAAGACAGCATGAAGATGGAGGTGCAAACATACTTGCAGAATGAGAAAAACAATGACAGCACATTCAAACGGGCCTGGGATGAAGGAGAGAACAAGAAGAAACGGGGGTATAAGAAAGGAAAGCGACGTTCCACCTCTCTGGGGAAAGAACAAGCTGTGGCTATATATGTGTATAGCCTCGACAACCCAAACATCTATCTTGATTTTAATGAAGCAGTTCGGACCCAGAGAAATGAGTACAGGACCACGTTCAGATATCACGCTCTTCACTTTTTCCTGACTGACGCCCTGCAGACTCTCAACGCTCAAAAACCGGAAAAGGAACGATGTCTAACGGTCTACCGCAGAAGCAACAGAAGCTTCAGCCAAGATGTTCTCAACAAAGTGATTCGCTTTGGCTCCTTCGCCTCCAGCTCAAGGGGTTGGTACCCCAACGCTGAAAGGTTTGGAGACAAGTCATGCTTTGAGATTATCACATGCTTGGGAGCAGACGTCTCTGTGTTCTCTAAGCTGGGGGAGTCGGAGAGAGAAGTGCTGATTCCTCCTTATGAGGCCTTTAAAGTCACAACGATTGAGAGGAGATCTGCCCAGAAGACTCTTCCTTGTGAGGTGGTCTACAAACTAAGAAGTACAGAGGTCACTTTTTCAAATTTGAATT